TAGATTCTTTAACGCAATCATCAGATTAGTGTATCAAGTTTAACACGTACATCATTTCTATATCCACAAAGAACTTTTGAAAAATGACTTCCTATATTATTGATGATATCGGAAATGATTATTGATAAAATATTTTAGAAAATATGCAACGAAGAAACTGGCCCTAGATGAACTGTGGCATGTTTATATTGAAAGAGATAAGATTGAACAAAAAATTAATATCATCATTTAATAGTAAACCACGTGATCATTAAATCCTAGTCATACATGCGTTTTGTTGTCACTCTATATTTGTTTTTATTATAGACGTGTAAAGTGTAAAACGAGCAAATGAAAAAATGACAAAAAATTACAGTTAGATTCCTTGGAAAATCGTTTGGAAAAATACATTTCGCTTATAAAAAAATCTAGAGACTGGTACACGCATCTTCGAATTAGCAACAAGAGACATCAAGAGCCTTTTAAGAGCTTGTAAAAGGCTTGGCATTTTTATGCCGCTTTCTTTAATACATGTAAAGTGACCTATCATAACAAGCTAACAAACATGCAACCTATTGGTGAACTGAGGACTCGAGGTGAGTGACTACGGTTTACTCACTGTTTAAAATTTTCGCTTTCTCTCATTTTTATCTGCCTTCAGATCACTTTGTAACCAGATTGTACAGTAACTAATATACAATATAGCCACACCATAGATTAAACCACACCATACAGATGCTTAAGCGTTACAATTTGATGAATAAAATCTGATTGAAATATATTTCCTCATGTCACGACCCATTGAACCAAGATGTTGGTAGTGATCACAGCTGGCAGCTGATTGCGACACAACTTGAAAGTAAGCGTGCAACGGACGTTCATTATAGACGGACAGTACGTGGTAAAATCGGTAAGGACAAATATGAATTTTGATTATATGTTAACAATTGCTATGCAAGTTTCATGAACGGAAGAAAAAAACATGGACATTTCATTATGCGCAATTTTCAAATTCAAACTGGAAATTTACAAGTACACGGAAGGAAATTACTTCTCAAGTGTATTTACTCTAACGGTTATGAGTGATATACAATGACCAGAAATAAAGTTTAAATTCTCCTTCTTTATGTCGCCTCAATTTTGTGTAGTGACGATTCAGTCATTCCATCAGATTTCTTAAGAAATTTTATTAATGTTAATTTAGAAAAAAAAACGAATTTCTGACATTTTGTCTATACATGAAATGCGGTCTGTCCTGATAAGATAAGCCATTGTATGCTGAAGGTTACAGCCCGAAAAAAATCTCACGTTTTCCAATAAAATCTCACCCTTTCACTTTGTTGTTTAATCGGTCTACTAGGGGTGCTGTTTTCTATTCTGAATGGCAAAATCACTACCTTGCCAATGTTTTCTGATGACAATAAATATTCTTGTATTGTGTTGTGTGACATAGTCTGGCATAGAAGTATTTTGTTTGAACATCGTCAGTAAAGGAAAAAAATGGAAATAATTATCATAGTTGTCTATTTGTTTATATAATAGACAGCAAGCTGTAGTGTTTGGTAATTCCATTTGTTCTTTTAGATCAGTCATATTAGGTGTTCCACAAGGTTCTGTGCTAGGTCGCCTGTTGTATTCTTCATAAACGACCTCGCAATATCTTACAAAAAACTTTGTCAGAATATTTGCGGATTGTTCCTCATTTGAACAGATTTCTGTGGCTCTTGATCAACGTACCTGCCAATAAATGAGGATTTATATTGTCTTCAGATCAACCGCTTATATAACCCAATACTGCAGACTGTGGCGGTCATGTTTTCTTCTGGGAATGTCCCAGATAATTCAAACTTGGTATGGAAAGGTCTTTTGGATTTCGTGACTTGCATCGACATAAGGGGCTATTCCTAGCCGTAACTGTAAATGGGCTGACCATACATACCATCTAATAAAGTCTTCTTCTCAAAAAATTGACCGCTTTAAAGTAATTGATATATAAAGTAAGTCGAGTCAATCTTGTTGCAGTATATTAATCATTTGTTCGATCTGTGCTCGAATATGCCTCTTGTGTTTTGGACGGCTGATCACAACACTTGTCTAATTACATTGAAATAATGCAGTCAGAAGCATCTAGAATCGTCTCTGGTCCGTATTCATAGCCTCACGCGAGTCGCTATATTTTGAAACTGGTTGTAAACCGTTTCAGTAGAGATGGGATGAGCTTAAGCTTACTACTTTTCACAAAATACATAACATTTAGTACCGCCCAACAGGGGTCGACTGAACAGGGATCTAAGGAATCCAGACAATTATATCGATGTTATGAAAAAAATATTTGTTACGGCGTTCCATTAATATATGAAATAATCTACCGCATTCCATAAAAATGGATGTATCTACCCAAACTTTTAAATCTATTTCTCGTAACCCTTCATCAGAAATAAGAAATCACTGAATGGTTACAAACCGATTTATTTAGGATATGAATTTACTAATTCCTTAATTGTTTATGTGGTGATGGTGTAGAAGTTCGACCTTTACTAACAATAGATGTGTTTGTCTTATACCTAGAATGATTTGAATAAAGATTTCAAAACAAAAATAATTATCTTGGTTGGTGGGGAGGGACAATAACGCTTACTGACATGAAACCGTTGGTAACATTGTCAAATCCGGCGTGCACACGTTTATAAAATAACCTAAGCGTTTTGAACTACCAGATTGAAGTTTTCATAGCTTGTTCCGAATCTATACTCTCTGTTCCTCTCCCTTCTTTCTGTTTCCCCATCCTGTCTTTCATTGAATTGCTTAAACGAATTACATCTGCCTAGTCCTAAATTCATATTTGTATCCATAGACCTGAATGATAAGAATATTTGTTTGTCACGTGATACGTGACACATCCGTCCACAAAATACAGAACACTGACGTTCGTCGATGAGACAAAGTCTTTAAATAGGACAGGTCAAACGGAAAACCTGTAACTAACCAGCCAAAGTCCACAAAGTTTATCTGAATCACGTATCTGGTGTATGATTCAATGACGCGAAGTGTACAAGTTATCGGCTTGTTCATGTTGGTAATCTTACATTTTTTTTCAAACTCATTGAAAATAATAAAACCTGGCCTTCTTTATGAATATTTGCTGACTGTCATCCAATTACAACGACAATATATGGTCATCGTGATTATTAGACTTTAAGTGCGGTATGTAGCCGAGTGTGTTTGATACTGGTTCTGTTGTGCGGTATAAAGCTGGATGTGTTTGATATCGGTTTAGTTGTGCAGTATGAAGCTGAAGGTGTTTGATACCGGTTTTGTTGTGCGGTATGTAGCCGAGTGTGTTTGATACTGGTTCTGTTGTGCGGTATAAAGCTGGATGTGTTTGATATCGGTTTAGTTGTGCAGTATGAAGCTGAAGGTGTTTGATACCGGTTTTGTTGTGCGGTATGTAGCCGAGTGTGTTTGATACTGGTTCTGTTGTGCGGTATAAAGCTGAAGGTGTTTGATATCGGTTTAGTTGTGCGGTATGAAGCCGAGTGTGTTTGATACTGGTTCTGTTGTGCGGTATGAAGCTGAAGGTGTTTGATACTGGTTCTGTTGTGCGGTATGAATGTGGACGTGTTTGATACTGGTTCTGTTGTGCGGTATGTAGCTGGACGTGTTTGATATCGGTTTAGTTGTGCGGTATGAAGCTGAGTGTGTTTGATACTGGTTCTGTTGTGCGGTATGAAGCTGAAGGTGTTTGATATCGGTTTAGTTGTGCGGTATGAAGCCGAGTGTGTTTGATACTGGTTCTGTTGTGCGGTATGAATGTAGACGTGTTTGATACTGGTTCTGTTGTGCGGTATGAATGTGGACGTGTTTGATACTGGTTCTGTTGTGCGGTATGTAGCTGGACGTGTTTGACATCGGTTCTGTTGTGCGGTATGAATATGGACGTGTTTGATACTGGTTCTGTTGTGCGTGTATGAAGCTGGACGTGTTTAATATCGGTTTTGTTGTGCGATATGAATATGGACGTGTTTGATACTGGTTCCGGTATTTTTCTTTTACATAACGTTTAATGTGAGTCTAATTTGCATTATCAATCCCACCGTTTCATGGTTTGTCTGTAACATTATGCATTTTCTTATCATGATTACAGATGATGTAATTACGTTTGTGTAGCACCTCAGTTATCTAATAAACAGAATCTTACATTCGTTTTCAATTCATGTGATATTTGTAGAATTCGTCAAGAATGTATCATTTTTCCTCGCTAGAGACTCAGTAAAATGAAACAATCTTTTACAATTGCACTTGTCTTATATGTCCCATATAAAAAAAAAACATGAAGGATCCTCTAGTCACTAAGTACATTAATCAGTCTTACTGAAATAGGAAGCAATCTAATTTCAGGTATACAAAAACCATGTAAGGACAAAACTCGCTGTCTGATATAAACCCTTTACCTTTCTTTTTCCATAACCTTTCAGAAAATCTAAAATTTCTAACTTAATTCATTGGTATAATATGTTTTGGATGTTATGTCCACAGGCTTCGAACTCAGAGCCTTAATTAACGGAGAAGCAATAATGCTTTTATACTGTATAAAAAACATGTTGTAAGTATGTTTAAAAAAAGTGTTGCCTGTTTCATGTATTTTTCATATTGTTTTACGAGCACGAGATTTTTCAATGTATTTTTTTTCCATTTTCGCAAAAATTGCAAGCCTACAAGCTATATTGTCTGTAATTTGCTAAAACGTCCCATCTAAAAATGCTTTCAAAAGTTTTTGCGATCTGTTTTGTTTGTTTTTCAGAGGTGTATTGGAAGGGCAATTCTGGTAGAGTTTGATGCAGCTGATGCAACAAACATATAGGCCTATCTGAGATTTCCGGGGAAAAGTAAAGCGGAAAATTGACCGAGATCGAAACAAAACGCCACCTGGTGTGAAGGAAATTTGTATGGCGGATAGGTTCGAATAAGAATTATGTCGCGCACAAAATTACATAACTACATTTGAACGTGAAAAAGACAGAATGGCTGAAGTTCAGGTGGTTTATTTTAATTGGAAACACGATGATTGAGTTTCCTTAACATGAGGACACGTGAATATCGTGATTGCCAAAGTTCTCAATCAAAATATGTCCGCTGTCACGGAGAACGCCAGTTCGCATTGTATGATGGCCATTTTCAGTGTATTTTATTTCAAAAAGATGTTTTATTATAGTGATTGTATAAACTGGAATACGTAGTCAATTGGTAATGGTCAAGAATGCGAAAATTTAATAGAATGTTTAAGGGATAATTATCTTTGCCAACATACAACTGATTTCACAAAAATAAGAATCGGTAACGAGCCTAGTTTTTTTAGATTTAATTATAACAAATGAAGATGCAGTGATGAGAGAAGTTCCGTAGAAAGTCGAACTGGAAGCAGTGACCACCTAGTTTTGATCTTCAAATTTCATTTTATTATATTATTTTTTTCAATATGGACAAAATGAATAGAACCAGATGTCATGATAAGAAAATTTTCAAAACGCGATGTCGTCGTGATGGAAGCATTTTTTCCAGTTAAAGTTATTGATTTATGAAATACCTTACCACAAACTGTTGTCTGTTTTAAAATTTGAAATGTTGTTTGATGACCATTTGAAAAATAACTGTTTTCACACATGAATGTTTATATTGTGTTATGTAATAAATTTTGATATGGACATAGAAGCTGCAAGCCATTATTTGTGCTAATAAATGTGTAACTTGAAAATTGAAACTGATCAAATATGTATAATATACTCTAACAATACAAAAAGAAGAGGAAGAACAAACTTGCAAAGTAAAGACTGATCTGTTTCGGGGAAGTTTTGATGCTGTAACATACTAGGAATATCCATTTAATTTGTATTTTTTCCTTTTTCTTTTTTTATTCTCAACTCATAGTCATAGAAGAATCTCACCAATCATACATAGAAGCCCTGCTGATGAAATGTGATACTCATTCATTTGTGTTAGAAACTTGTTTCCATACTTACTTGTTGAACCCTTGAATCAGATGATATTTGACACTTGAATTGATGCTTTGATTGACAGGTTGAAGTTGCAAGCAGAGCACCATCAACATCAACAAGATGTAATGCACAGTCACCCACAACTAGGACATGGAGAAAAGGTTCCCCTAAGTGTGATTCTGTTCAAAGTGCCCTACCAAACTTCTCACCTATCAACAGCAGACCTTCATCATCAAATACTGAACAAGATTCTTTAAGATACCAATTTTCAAGTCTTAACAGGTACTAAATTTCATGGCATGGCAGTCATAGTCAAATAAATAAAGACTTCCTTCATAAGGTTTTTCACCACATTTTGTGTGAATCTCGGGGACAAACAGACATTTTGTGACATTTTGTCAAAGGCATCCCTGTCTTAGTCATTGTTAAATGTAAGTGTATCCTTTGAGAGCAGAGCGCAACAACGGAATAGTGGTTTATTTAAATATGTGCTAATAAAAACAAGATTTACTGCAGATGCTTTTGAGAACAAACCTCCACTGGGCAATGATAGCAAATAAGCAAAAGCCAAACTGACTGTGTAGGTCTTCTTGAGGGCAAGATATTAACAGGGCAATGATAGCAAATGAGGAACAGCCCAATTGACTGTGTAGGTCCTTTCAGGGCATACCTCAACAGGGCAATGATATTAAATCAGAAACAAACCAACTGATGGTACAGAGCTTCATATGGGGAAGATTTATTTATTTGTAAATGAGAAATGGCTTAACTGACTGAAGGTTCCTTGGTGCAGACTGGCTCTGGTAAATAATCCTTTATCATAGCACTAATAAGGAAAATTGGTATCTAGTCCACAGTTTCACAGAGAATCTCTAAGCTATGGTAATTCCTAGGAAAATGAAATGTTTAGGTTCCTGAGAGCACTTGTTGTAAAGTAAGAGAAAAGTGTATACCAAGTAATGATACCTTCCAAGACATTTCCGTCTGGACCAAGGAAATTCACTTTTATATTTAGTTGTGACTTTAGGCATAAGAAGCAAAAATACATTGAGTTTGAAAAATATTTATTGATGTAAAAATCAACAAAAATCATTGCAGTGAATAAAAATGTGATGATGAATGAAATATTTCTGAAATTTCGAAAGTTGCTTTTTTATCAAAAAGAATTCCATTTTCATTTAAATGAGTCAAAGAATTATAAATAAAAGAACAATTTCAAATTTCAGTTCCTTCAGTGAGCGTGATGTCTGTCGTATTTGCCACGGTGGTAACAGTTCTGAGCTGCTGCTGTCGCCCTGTTATTGTGCAGGTTCCATGGGTAAAATCCACTTGTCTTGTCTGCAGCGATGGCTTGGAAGCTCCAACAAAACCAGGTGTGAGATATGTGACTTCCAGTTTACATTAGAAAGGAAAACCAAACCGTTCAAACAGGTATCCAACTAAGAGACATTTGTTTTGATATCTTCTATTATCGAGCTGAAGTTAGAACGTCTTGATTCATCATAAATCATTGGCTGTTTCAAACCAAAATTTACCAACTACTTTATTCTGAAGTTTCTAGCAAACCCTGGGTCTCCACGTGACAAGAAGAACTTGATATGTGACATGGTTTGTTTCTCCATACTCATGCCTCTGACCATCACCACTGCCTGGCTGTGTATGACGAATGCTATCCACCTGAATCTTCACATGTGGGAAAGTGCAGGACTCTTCTCCCTTGCCATGTGTCTCATCATCATCTTCTTTTTCTGGGCAGCAGTAAGTTCATCTGGCAAAAATGAAAACTTACCATTGCATGCAAATTGCAAAGTATGAGAAACTCTCATACTGTGTGCTCAGAGTATACATGTGTTGGAAAAATTTGAATTGGACATAATATTCTTTGAAAGGTACAACTGCAAAAGCAATGATGGAAAAGAGTTCCACCTTAAGCTTAAATCTATTTCCTTATCATAGCTTGTATTATTTTTAGTTTATTGGAATTATTGAGAGAAAGTGATATTAATAGGACTGGGGAATTAATTGCCATTAACATTTTGGCATTGGCTTCAATGCCCACTTCCAGAAATTGTATTTAGCTCAGTTTCTCAGAAATTATAAACAATACAGCAACTTCATTTTTTGTATTTACCAGGTATAGATTTGAATCACAAATCAAGGTGTTGTTATCAAATAAGGACAAAAAAATAAATTTGAAAAAAGAAAAATTCAACATTTAGGAAAAAAAGAAATTCTAAGACAGCTCCTTTCTAAAATATTAAAATCCACTAAAGATTTGCTCACATCTACAATAAACAATGAAATTTAACCTTGAAAACTAACAATACATAGAATCCTGTAATATTGTGTTCCATTACTCATACACATACCTCAATAAAATCTTATATCACCTACCAAACAGTACACAGACTTTTGTAACGTCACGACTTAGTTTCCTACACTGCTCAGATTCCAGTATATTTAACATTATTTATATTTACAGATTTGTTTCAGACATAATTTTAACATGTGGAAAGACTGGAGGCAGTTTAATCAGGATGTGAAATTGAAGTGTCAGCCTCCTCTGAATGTACTTGGTTCCCAGGCTGATCATCCCTCTGGGATTAGAGGTCATTCACACCTAACCACAGTGGAAATCCCCATCAACAGACGCCAGCTTCTACCAAACTGTGACAAATCTCTACAATCTGTTGGGTATACATGTGGTAAGGACACGCACACAGCCTTTTCTCCTACACAGAGCAACCACAGTAAAGGTCCAAAAGGAGTCAAAGATGAGAGGTTGAGGAATCATGTGAGCCCAAGGTCAGGATATAATTCAAGGTCATTCCAAGACTCTGCATTTCAAAATCTTGCTGTAAAGCAAGACCTTTTTCCTAATTCAAGAAATCCTGCTACAAGTCAGAGGTCAATTTCGCCTGTTTGCCATAACCTCACTGCAGGCAATGATCCTAAATGCAAGATTAATGAACAGAAAAGATTTAAATGTTCCAGTCCAAGACCCCAACATATTACAGGGCAAAGTGAGCAAATTCCTAGAACTAACAGTAATACATATTCTGGCAAAGGGTCAAGGTCACCTTCTCTTGGCTTGCACAGCAGTGACAGAAGTTTTCATCAGGAAATTACACAAAACCAGATTAATGCAATGAGGTCTTCAAATCATGTCTTGAATCAAGAGTCATCAGATCAGATGTCAAGTACAAGGAGTGTTGCATCTTCAGGTGGAAGTTCAGTAGTATATACCCTGCCCTCCGTAACTGACTCAAGTTCAAGGTCAATTGAATATATTCATCAAGATCAGATTCCAAGATCAATAAATAATCATCCAAGAGAACAGTCAGTGACTAGAGGTCCGACGACAAGAGAACTATCAGGAACTAGAGGTCCGACGACAAGAGAACTATCAGGGACTAGAGGTCCAACGACAAGAGAACTATCAGGAACTAGAGGTCCGACGACAAGAGAACTATCAGGGACTAGAGGTCCGACGACAAGAGAACTATCAGGAACTAGAGGTCCGACGACAAGAGAACTATCAGGGACTAGAGGTCCGACGACAAGAGAACTATCAGGGACTAGAGGTCCGACGACAAGAGAACTATCAGCGACTACAAGTCAGCAAAGAGAAATTATGCAAACAGATTGTTACAATCATAATCAGTCTAGGCATGCCAGCATAGATGTGCATCAAACTTATGTTTGATAATTTACGGGTGAAAAATCAATTTAAAGTGGAATTTATTTTGGGTTCAATTTTTTTTGGACATGAATGTGAAATGTATTCCAAAATCTATTTTTTCAGAACATCTACAGGAGGACGTATATTGAAATGCGAGATCAGTTACCTTTTGTTACCTATAGTTAAACTGCATTATCTACTCTTTTGATGCCATGTTTTAAGTTCTACTGCTTTCTCTTCTTAAAAGTGATTCTTCCAAATAAAAAATTATAATTCATACTATGGTGAATATCAATTGTATGTTTGGCTCTTTGATAAGAGGGCGAGTTGCAAATACAAATATCTTTATTCTATAAGAACCCGACCTCCCCTATCCCCTCCCTCATCTCATGGTATGATGATACCAGAGTAAACTTCAACATCTTTTGTAATCATAAATAACTGGTATGGAGAATTTGTGTTTGTAAGAGCCGTCATTTATTTATTGTTATTCTCAAGTTTATGGAGTCTTATATCAAAATCAGTATTATGTTTTATTTGTTGTGATATAAAAAATTCTGTGATATAAATGTTAATGGAAATTACGAGAAAAAAAATGTACTGAAATCTGTGATAGAAGTATTTATGTCATGTCTTGCATGTCAATATTAACTGTTGATTAAAATGTTTCACAAAAGTCATATAACCACAGTATCTTGTTTTTCTTTAAGGATTGTGAAATATATTTGATGTATACCAGCATTCATGCAATGAATGAACATATCAATTTTTCAAGACAGGCCCTGAAGATGTTATACATTTTTATTCATTATAAATTACAAACATACAGCAACATTTCAATTTGAAGTTAACAAACTCCAAAACTAAAAATCATTTCAATATCACATATTTCGAAATCCATCATTTGATCCCAGATGTTATATATCCATCATTCACAATCTTCAATATTGGGTAATGAGGTTCAGTAGTTATTTCATTCAAGTTTGTTCTTTCACATCATTTCTTTGTCATTTCTGTCATTTCTGGGACAGCCTGTAAACAAAATGATAATATACATGTAGCATAACAATGCAATTATTTACAATAAAATATACCAACCACTAGAAAATATAAAACAACAAAAACTGTTGGACAAAATTCACAAAAAAAAGACAGTGGTATATAGTTGATAGGATGATGTAGTAATAAAGAATCTACACCATGTTTGTTAACACACCTGGGTTTAAAGAAATCGAAGTGTAAACAACACTAATCTAACAAAGAGATTGTACAGACTGATTAACAGAGAGGAGAGGACTAAGATGGACAAACTGGTAAACCATATTGACAGATAACTAAAGGTAAAATATTTTTGTATTGGGACATACCAACAAATTAATTTTATGCGCTAGTTCTGTACATGATAAAAGACAATAAAAACTTGACCATTTCATTTCCAAATTCACTTTATTTATTGCATCAAAAGCTGTGTGCAACAAGAAAAATGGAACATCCCTCAGTATTGTAACTTCTAATTGGATGGCTTGTGTCATTTGTTTACATAAGGATAAAAAAAGCTTAATAGAAATCACAGAAAATGATGCATTTGCTGTTGCAACATTTCTGTACTATGTAAAGTGCAATTACCTTCAGAAGTCAGTCATTCATCCAATCACATAGTCAAAAGGATTTACTCTAGCATAATTTTATTATTTTTGTTCTTTCAGCTTTCAAATATCACATTTTGCTGTTTCATAATAAAGGAATTCAGCACTTTTTGGACTTTTATATGCTATTTTAAAGCAATGTCTATTCAAAAGGGTTTAATTGCTACAGGTAATCCTAACAAGAAGTGAACAATGTAATTTTATCACAACATACAGCATTCTAGTTCAAAATCATGTCTGTACAATGCATCTTTTCCATGTGAAGAATTTTCTTCAGATAAGTAACCTTGTATATCCTTTTTTTATATATATTACACATTAAGAATCTATGAACCACCTATAAAAGGAAGCTGTACTGGGGAAGGGACTGGTCCAATTTACAATGTCACCAACTGACACTACCTTGAAAAGATCCTGGACAAGTCCATAGTCAGCCACTTGGAATATAGGTGCATCAGGATCCTTGTTGATAGCCACAATCACTTTACTGTCCTTCATCCCAGCCAAGTGCTGGATAGCACCCGAAATACCAACAGCAATGTACAGATTCTACAATATCAATTGTCAATTGTTAAGATATAGGTAACGTCTTTAAACTATTAACCGGGAATATACCCCAACTTTATTTACACTAAAGTCTAATACAGCAAGTAATATTGACGTTTGGTCAAATATTGGTACTGGATCCTAACAAACAAATGTTTCATCATATACATTGAGCATCGGTCAAAGACAAAGTTATAAAATATCAATAGAATAATAGGAACTATACTGGTACAAACAAAGATGGAGATAAAGTAGGCAATAACAAACAACAATTTGAATATATTGAATCACAATGTAATTAGATTATGATGTGTATTACTCAATACTTTTGTCTTTGTTTATCTTCCATGTATGTGATGTAACTTCTGTAATATTATTGATATTATAATATTATTAAAAAAGATAGGATTGCCTGGAAAATTTGACGACTCACTTGTCCATACTATTCTTATTATTTCAATATATATTTTTTTTACCATATATGGTAACTTTAAACTGATTACACCCCACTTTTGCCTCAACTTTGCTTTGCTGGGTTTTAGTCTGAGAACTAAAGCAAACCTACAGAAATGAAACTGCACTACTAAAACACACTTAACATATCTGTTTCCACCAGGTAAAGCTAGTATGAACATATGCATATAAGATTAGTGAGGCCTGGCCAGTGTCTACTTGTATATGTGTCCTTGTGTCTATGTCAGTCAGCCAGGCTAGTGTCTACTTGTGTCCATGTCAGTCAGCCAGGGTAGTGTCTACTTGTGTCTGACAGTTCAGTTCAGTGTCTTCTTGTGTCTGTAGAGACAGGCCAGTGTCTGTGGGCCCTGTTAAGTGTGTTGTGTCTGGTATATGTAAGCCTCTGCCATCTGTTCACATTATATAATTAATGATATGTCTGTCCATCCACTATTATGAAACTCTACACGGCCAAACACAGAAAATCTTACAGGAGCTACAATTTTCCCTGTCTGTCCAATCTGCATGTCATTGGGGACAAATCCAGCATCTACAGCAGCGCGGGAAGCTCCCACGGCAGCATTCATGTTGTCAGCAAGGTCGTACAGGAGCTTGAAATTATCACCATTTTTCATCCCTCTGCCTGTAATGGAAAAACAAGTTTTGCTTAAGAGGTATAAATAGAAATGAATTTATCAAATTTTTAACTGTTATCCCTATCATGCTGTTCTTTTTTAAACAACATCAAAGACTGACCACATACTTCCTGGTCCCACATGAAAGTATTTTTAAAAGGTCTTAAAATCAAAACATTAACAATTCAGAACATTAAACAATTATATCAACATAATATGATGCATGTTAGTAAGGAAAGATTGACAGGATAAGTACGTCTACAACAGGAAGGGAGACAACTCCAAATAGTTACTGTACCTCCTGAGATAACTGTTCCAGCACTAGTCAATTCTGGACGGTCACTTTTGCTTAATTCTTGACCAACAAACTCTGATATTGTGTTCGCGACGTCAACATTAGGAGCTGTTGAGGAAAGATAATGAATGAAATTATTTTGACATCTGCATAATATTGAGGTAAAAATATAGCTATTTATTATACATTTTATACATGTATTAGAAAAATTAAATTGTTGTTTGGTCATTGATATACAATTCAATAATAAAGTTATCTCTTAATGTCCATGATTAAATTATAATGCAGATATGAAAATGTCTTAAATATGCAAGAAACACAGGAATATTGATGATATCAAAAATTTGAATCCTGTTGTAATAAATACCGTTTTCTGATGCAGCACTGCCCCCTTCCATTTCAGCAGCTTCAAAAGCCGTCCCTCTCACTGATACAAGCTTCACACTGTCCTTGGACTTAACAGTTTGTACAGCATTTCCTGAGAAGAGACACAGATTATTAAGGCCTCATTCAAACACAATTATCAAAATGAAAAATTTCAAATTAACTATTTATTTGTACGTGAAATCAATATTGACCTCAAAGGGACATCATGGTAACAATATTAATTTTATTACTGATTTGGGGTGTTTTTTACACTTCCAGGGAAATCCCTCTAAAATTTGATATAAGTTGATATATATCTAAGTTTATCAGCATCTAATTGTGTTATAAATTTGGCAAATGTTATTTAATCATTCTAAGTCAATTCAGAATTAAGAAATAAATAACATTACTCACCAACCAATTCAGGTGGGAAGCCATTTTTGTTTACAGGCCAGTTTTTTGCACGCATGCTTTATCATTTATGACACAAAAATTTACATATCCAGATTTGATTGACAGATAAGAATTTCCTTTTAATATTTATTGATTATCCTCTTCATGAGCATATTTCAACAAAAAACCAACTGTCATAAGGTGAAGCATTTGATATACAAATATATCACATTAAAAAAATCATTAAGGAAAAATTGTTTTACCACGATGTTGCTTTAAATATGAAAGATAGAAGTGATGGAAAATGAACAATTTTCTTCAATATAATACTACCTTTACACGTGTAATAATTTAATTATATGTGTAATTGTTACTTTTTTAAGTATCAAAATCTCAAAGTTTTAGATTGTAATCAGTCATGACTGTTATTACTGGACGTTGAGTTTATTTACCAGCATAGATTGTCCTGATGAAGGTGTCTTCACCCTTAATCCCAATGATATCAGAAATAGGAGAGACATCCAGTTTTGCTGCTACTCTTGGAATCAAACTCTACAATGACAAAACAAGATCTTAAAGAGATATATTCAATCTGGAGCTACATATGTATTCCTGTAAAACATCCATACCATTCAAGAACTCCAAGTTTTGTTTAGAGATGCCATCCACAGAATTTCAATGTCTTGTTAATTTGCTCAGAAGTAATAGACAAGACACTGAATCAGACAGATAGAAGTGACTTATTCTGGAGTCTTGAGGTTAAACAGATTTTTACTCAAATAGCAATGTAGCCGATTGAAAGAAATGACCAAATATTACCACCACACATCATTTATCAAATTCCAACATATTTCCACAATTACTCAACATCAGCTCGGGAGATGAATTTTCAGAATCCTCTTGATTTTACTTGTGTACTCAAAGACTTTTGATATATGTTGAAGACTTGTGTAGTAAAATTTCTAATCAATAAGCTGAAGAATTTGTGTGTGCACTTGAAATCTAATATAGTTCAAAGAATTGTGTATTTCAATTTCTAATAAACAGGTGGAAGAATTTATATCTTTATCAAGATTCCTAATATTGATCTATAAACAAATTTACTTGTGTACTCAAGATTTCTGATTTACCAATTGGATGAGAAATTGACTTTAAATTTGTTTTCTGTATGAAATTACAATTCATTTCATAAGATATTTTCTTGACAAGTATACACTTTAATAATGTTCATCTATGACTTGAATTCTCTTCTAATGTTCAACAGAAAAACAATTTTAATCAATATTTGCAAAATGCTACATAACTTGCTTTAACCATGTACATGTAAAATATTAGTGAGATACATGTATGTATTTGTTTACAACTGTCACATTACAAAGACAATGTGTATCAGCAAACGAAAGTTAAACAATTATTTAAACCAGGATTGATTTTAGTTTGATATTTCTGACTTAAAAATCATACCAACCTTCCCAAATGCTGTTGCTCCAGCTAGAATGTGTGAGAATTTGAACTGGTCTTGTGTCGCCATTAGGAGGGGAGTAAGCGATTCTATAAAACCAGTACACAAATATAGAAATCTACAACAACTGTGACAAGGATTGAAAGAGACAGGAAGTCTACCATACAGGTGATATGTTACATAATTCAGTGGTCAAGGAATGAGATGGAGTGATATACAGTTGAATCAATATGATGATGGAAATTCATTTCAATATTCTCTCACCAAAACAGTAATGTATTTCTTGTGTTGTCATTGTCAGACGTTTCTTTCATTATAGTGTATATGTAATCAAATTTGCACTGTTATCCACTATATAAACATAACCAGGCAAAAATAAAAGATTTCAATTAGTGGGCACTATGAGCCTTCATACCAATCAATAAAATGCCCACACCTCTCAATTCCTATATATTCGGAAAAAGATTAACCTTTCACCATTTTTTTTAGATTTATAGCTGTTTTTGTGTGACACTGAACTAGCTGTACCCACATTGATGTGGTCAGCTCTATAATGAAACATGAAATGTTAGATTCAAGAGTAAAACTGGAATGCTGTGCTAAAACATCATAGTCATAAAACGTATGAATTCTACAAATGAAATTAAGACTTCAGTCTTGTTCAGCTTAGGAAATATTCAAAGATCTGATAACACGGTAACTACATCCTTTAGGCTGTTCACTCTACCATTGGGAGTGTATCAATGTTCCCTGGAGCAATACTGGATAGGAATGAGTTTAGCTTTAGTTATACCTGGAAGAAATCCTTTGAATGCCTCATTATCAGCCAGAAGCACTTTCTGTACACCCTCCACTTTGCTAACTTCCTCAGCTACCTGTTTAAAGTGATAATTCAAATGTCATTTTTTTTTCGTTCCGTTACATATTTACAAGTCTAATGGAGAAATTATCATTATCAACTAACATAGCAATATCCTTTCCTTCAACTGAAACAAAGTGAGAAGGGGCTCACATAAGTAAATATACAATGTATCCCTACTACTCACAAATCCTTAACTTTTTTAACTGAATCTGATGAGGGGTTCATAAGTTATCTACATAAGCTTTTAGTTCAAAAGTGGTCATGTGTCAATATGGCCATTGACTCTTGAAGTTGACCCTCTCATGATAAGCAACAAAATGTAATCTGGTGAAAGAACATGATGGGGTGAGGCTTTGGTGGAAACAAAAACTACTTTTGTCAAAGGGTTCATGTGGCATCTTGTGCACCAACTTAAATTTTTGAAAATGACAGAAAAATATATTCAAAAGCGTCTTATCATGTTGTGTTAAACTTTTTTCCACGAAAAGGATTGACTCCAAGTTTAAGATAAGCAACCTTTATAAATTTAGACACAAAATTTTATAGTACGGCCCAATTTTAGACTGATATAAATGGGCACTCTTGGTCAATTAATCTTCTCTTCGTCATATAGCAACAGCAAACCTCCATCTATCTCCTCCCTTCACTGCAAAAGGATTCTTCAAAAATATTTAGGAACAGACAAGCTTACCTTCGCACATTGTGTGCCAGCTACAAGGCAAGACACATCCCCCAATTTCTTTGCAGCTGTGATGGCATTTAGAGTGACTGGTGTTAGTTTTTCATTGTCGTGCTCTGCAATCACTAGTGTGCTTCCATTTCTTTGGAAAATGCAGTTCTGTCACAATCAAATGAAAGGAGCATACTATTAAACATGCTTAGCTATTTTGTTTTCTCATGATGATAGTATAGCTCAGATAGATATGTGACAGTGTTATAGACACACAGGTATTGATTGTAAACAAACAGTAGTTATCATTAGCTGGATTCAAATGACCTAAACTTATGTAAAAGTTGAGAGTACATGTCGCCTTACTAGCCTTGGCTAGTGAGAATTTCCTTTAGTCGAACAGTAGAGTGTCCAGCTTTCTTAATTGAACATCTAACAGAAACGACCATGTAGGAAATCATCATTTAATCTGAAATAGCAAACTAATTTACAGATCAATTTATTCTACATGCAGCTGTCTATACAGAGCCTATATATGTACAAAATGTGTACTTAAAACTTGCATCCTGACGTCACTTCAAAAGATGCTTGAAAATTTTCCAAGAAGTCTGAATAGTACTTTCAATCTATCATTTATAAATAAAATTGGCATTCATTGACGCCAGTTGACATTATTTAAGAGTAATATGGACTTCATGTATACTCCAATTTAATGTATCTAAAATCCAAGGATGAACATTGTGTAAAGGTGAACTTTAAAGTTAACCCCAGAACACAGCACATTTCCAATTATTGATACGCACATGTGCTATGTGCTTACATAAAATATAACGTTACAAATATTATAAAATCAAATCAGACCATATATAGGCATAGCTATTTTCATCAAATATTTAAGAAATGTGACTGTTTGAGAGGGTTCGCTATGCCTTTTCGCTACAGTGCTCATTTGAGATTATACAATAATCATTGCAGTTGGACTGTGATCCCTAAAACGAATCCAAAGTCGTCGGCGTTAAATTGTTTCATATAAAAAAACGAACATGTTACGGCGTAGAACATTCCGAAGTTAAGAAACTTAATATAGTCGTGGAAGTTTTCTTACCGCTTGGTAGAGAAACCGCGATTTGCTGCAGCACCTAGACAACATTATTCGTCCCGTTAGATAACCTTTCTGATGTTAACAGTGGCGTGCCCCTTGTGATAAAGCAAATAAATTTTAACGCACTTTTGGATTCGGTTGTATACGAATAATGATGTAGTAAATTATTATGCTTAACATTCTTTCAATACCGATGTATCATTACATTGCTTTAATTTTAAAAGATGTAAAAATACAAAAATTAACATTTCTTGACATGTTTGTCTATGCTATAAGCGGGCCTAACATTTTTATTGGAGGCCATGTTGAAAATTTGAGAGAGAAGGAAAAAAGTGACAAAATTTTCTTTTTGTTTTGGTATGAAAAGAAATTGATTTTGACAAATAGTTGTTGATTAGGTAAGTATTTGAATCTTTTTACAGGAACACTTGTTTTTGCGATTTAAATTATTTCTCCGTTTCGTAGTATGCAGCATTTTGTTTTTGTAAATTCTACTGTTGATAAACAACCGCAGCTATGCCCAGGACAAAGACACCAAAACAGAGCTCAGTATGTTTCGAGATTATGTCTGAATTTAGACAAATAATAGCCTTAGACTGGTCGGAAATATCATTTCAAGTTTGCTTGACACTGCATTTAGAAAAACGACATTGCATCTTTTATTGTAAACATTTTTGTCATATCTTGGTTGTACCAGACGGTAGCATTTGCAAAATAGGTCATCTGACGTTATTCGTTGAAATTTAATATACACTTGTCGTAATAACTCGGTAAGTACACATTTGAATATTACATCGGTTTCAGTGACTTGAAGACAATGTTGAAGAATAAGATAAACTATTTTTTTGAAAATAAACATTTATGTGCATTCTAACTAATAGACCCCATATGACCAGTGATGATTGTAGTCTTGAAATGAATTACGGAAGTATATGATATAATATATATATATATGTAAATATGATATTAAGCAAGGGAAGCGAAATGGTTACATATATAAATATATATAGATGTTTTATACAATTCAGAAAGAGTAAAAATTTAACATATATACGAGTTAAGTAATACCAAAATCAAATTGCACAACTGTTTGTAAGATGATGCATTAAGCTATATTCTAGATTTCTCTAGAATGTTTTGGAACAAATTCAGAGACAACAAGAAAATATATTTTAGTGTATATGCATCACTTAACATATATGCTTTAGGAAATTATCTAATTAATAGTTATCAATATTTCAGGTGAAAATCAAAATTAAGAATGGGATCTGATTTCATTGGGAGTATTGTCTCTCTGGACTGTGGTGATACTCTGGGAACTTACCAGGGTCAGTTGAAGTCTGTCAATAATAGAGCACAAACACTCACTATTTTCAAAGCTTACAGAAATGGACTGAAGTGTGAAGTACAGAATATTACACTAAAGTAAGTCAACTTTCATATACATTGCAACAGATAAAAGGTATTGGTCAGTTATATAAGTTGATAATTACACACATTTTCTTGGTTTCTTTTCTATACCTTTTTTGTACTTTGTGTGTACCAGTATTCTAATCTTTATCGTGCATGCGGTTGATGTGTACTTAAACGAACATTTTCAACAACATAGGAGTATGAGTGTCATGTCATATTTCAAATCATTTTCCAGTGAATATGTTATTTGAAACTTTCAAAATAGAATAAAGAATTTAATTGCACATTGCTATCATTATCATTCATACTTTTCAGTGCTTCAGATATCAAAGAGCTTAAAATTCTGCAGTCACCTACTGAGGCTGTAGCTATCGTATCAAAGGAAGCCACACCTTCTAAACTTTCCCCTGAAAACAGTGATGGAGAGGCATGTCCATCTCCAGTCAAAGTGTGCGAGCTTCCATACGCCAATGGACACAGTGGTCAAAATGGCTACACTCAGCGGCCTGGTTCAGCCAGGGATGTTAATAGTAATTGTTATAAAAACTACAGTAGTGGTGATAGATATAGCCCCAGGTACTCGCAGCAAACCAATGGGGCTAGTCAGAGACACTCACCAAGTGTGCTTGCTAATAATGGGTATGCTAGTACAAATGGACAAACAGGGGGACACAGGTACACTCCAACTAATGAATATAAAAATGTGCGTTTTACACCCACTAAGGAAGATTCCCAGATGAGGCCAAGAAGGAATTCTGGTAAGATTTTCTGTATTGCATTATCAAAGTATTGTCAACATTTTTTTTATTAGTAAATATGCTCTTATTAACGGTAACATTAACTGTTAATTGCTTGATTTGTCCTTAATTAAAAAACGATAATTTTCTATTTTTCACTGAGTATATTCAATATAAATCAAATTTACACTTCAAGGTTATCAAATTAAATGTCAACAGGGTTTTCCATAAGAGCCGGTCGCCGGCCGATTTGACCGACTACTTTGATCATTTGGCCATCTGCACCAATCCAGTTACGAAATAATGTTCCCTACACGTACACACCAGGCCAGCCTCCTACTTTTACTACACAGCCTATTACTAACAAAATTATGGAAAACCCTGGTCAAGGTCAAACTTTACCTGTAGTCACTTAACTTCATGTCAACTTACTGGCAAATTTTTGGGTTCTATCATGATGAACCAAGGTTTACCAGAACCAAATAAGGAAGTAGATAATCAGATGTCCTTAGTCAGTTTTTTTCAATTAAGGTCACAGTTCCAATATCTTTACTGCAGTAAATATTTTCTCATTACATTTTGAAACAAAGTTGATCATTGAGAATTCTCTTGACTGAAAGGTTCTAGTGCCAAGGGTCAAGGTCAGATTTTAGATATGTTTACTGGTTGATATTTTATAATGTCAAAATGAAACAAATAAGTTTATGGTCACTCAGATGTCATTGTCGTCATTCTATTACTGGTGTATATGATTTAGTCTCGATATAATAAATCAAAGATTATTTTAATTTATTGATTAATCACCATGCTGTAGCATGTTATAAAGATAAGATTTAAAAAGTAGAGCCCATCCTAACACTTACACTTACTACTTGTACCATTTTACCAATCGATAAACATACATGCAAGTTGACATGAAAGATCTAAATAATGTATCAAATATATTTTATATTTGGAACATAATAAAGGAACAACTTCGTATCAATAAAACCTTCCAGTTAGCCGCTGGTTATGAGTCAAACTAGTGATTGGTCCCATTTTTATTTGCCCTTACTCCTGTTGAGTATCAGCATCAGGTAATAATGAACTTGTTGAAGGTAAATTTCAGTTTAATGACTTCATTACCATATATACTGATCAAGTAATGGCATTCTGGTTCTTGTTGCAGCTTCAGATGTTCGCAAAAAATCTACCACACCTAAGAAAATTGAGTTCCGCAACAACAGAAAGCAAGGGATGTCAAGAGAAGATTGTTTTAGCTGTCCAAATGATTCCGTGCTGCAAGAGTTTGACTTTGAGTCAAATCTGGCCCTGTTTGATAAGAAGGCTGTGTTTAAAGAGATTGAGAACACCCAGCCAAGGGCTGTGAACCCATCTGAACCCAAGAAGCCACTTAAATATAGATGTGATGAGAATGTTCTTGCATCAGAACCAGTAGTGCTACAACAGATTAAAGTGCCCATGGGTCACAGTAATGGCAAACAGTTTGTTACTGGTGAGATATGTTCATATTCACATTGCTTATATAACATACAAAATATTAAGTTTCTACTGAAGTTGTGGTCTTGTTTTTCCTTATTTCTTAAATTGTGCATCTCAAAAGTATCAAGTGAAAAGAACACTATTATTGTAAACTTCATTCTTGAGAGTGTTTATGCTTAACAGTCATGGTTGTAATCTATGTATCAATACAATGATATCAAAATGCTCATTTACTATATACCTCAAACAGTATTCATACAAGGATTAGCAACAGGGGAACAGCATATAAGTAAAGAATGCCAAAAAATGAAAGTCATTTGAAAGGGCTGCTGAAAGTTTTGGGATTTTTTGGTTTCTTTTCTAAGAATGATATACATATAAAATGTTATCTGTGCATGTTATGGTCCAATGAATGACGGTTGTAAATTGGAAATTCTGGTAAAAAAATCTGTCACTTCAATTATGGGCTTGATATTGATGTCTTCAATAACAAACTTTTGAAATAATATGACACAGAATCCCCCCATAACATACAGAAAGAAATTCTGCCGGTTCTCCATTATAGTTCAAGACAAACTCTGTATTCAACTCAACTAAATGGCCGTTCTGAAATAGGCAACTGTCTAGAAACGATGTCCAGATGATACTCTTTATTTTCTTATTATTATTCAGCCTTTTTTTTTTTTTTTTGTACTCAATATATAAGTTGTTCCAGTATACATGTCGTACGCCCAATCGTCGAGGAAAAGAGTCACTGCTTATAATCCAGAAAATATGGTACACAATTGTATAGTAACTTTAAAAAAAATAACCATTAAATTATTGTCAATATTTTGAAGTTGCAGAATTGAAATTTGAGATTAAGTATTGTTTCGTAGAAGAATTTTAAGGTTTTTAAGTGCATTATTTTTTTGTCCTCTGTATAACATTGTTATTAAATTAAGGTCTGATTTTGATCAGATGATGGCTTGGTGGTACCTAGTATCTCATATGAGTTGAGAAGTCGTCTTTTTGCGACGGCAGAGAAATATGGATTTAAGACAGACCGCCAGGTAGAGATGGTAGGACGGTCTGCCAGTGAGATGGTTCTTCAGTTGCTCGGCGGATCAAACAGGTAAACTTTTACTCTGATTCCTCTTAAATGTAGAATAATCATGCAAATATTGACAGACAAAATGCTGTTTCTAATTATACGTCAGAGGCCAAGTTCATAATGAAAAACAAGATTTTGTTACTTGAGCATTAAAGGGCAAGTAACCTTGAAAGTGAACATTTGGGATTGATGTGTTTAAAGATAATCCATGTTAATGTGTGCAAATAGAGAACACTGGTGTAATGTTTGAAATGATTTGTTATCTGTTTATTCTCAAATATTGCTAAAAAGACAAACATCTTCCCTTTGCTAGGTTAAACCCTAAGAATGGTCACCAGTTGCCAACTGTAGTAGTGTTGTGTGGCCCCCACATCCAGGGTGCCCAAGGAGTTAGCTGTGCCCGTCAGTTGTCCAATCACAATGTCAAGGTACATCTATTTGTACCCAGCTGTGTCCAGATGATCCGTGCCATGGAGGATGAGTTGTCACTCTTTGCCTTGTGTGATGCTGTAAGGACTTCTAGTCCTACAGGTAATTTTGTCTTTTTATCTGAATCCTAGTACTACTGATATTTCTAAATCAATTAGGTAAAGGCAGATTTTGACAAACAATGACTACATGCGTAAGACTTTTGCTTAAGAATTGTATTTTTATGACCCAAAGTTGGCTACATCTCTTGGGTTTGAAAGTTTAAAAGTTATGTCTATTTCAGCTCTCTTGGTAAATGTTATTGGGATTCTAAAATTATTGCTTATTAAAATTTTGCTAGTGAGATGGTTTCAACTTAGGCATAGAATGTTTTGACCAATTAAAACATTATGTAACAAACTGTATGAGGTCCCTTACGTGAAGGTAAGATTGTCAAGTTGTTCATTGTTTATGGTTTTGTTTTTCTACAGATCTTCCAGTTGGTTCTGTAGACATGATAATCAATGCCATGGATAGCCATGAACAAACCAGCCTGCGGGATCAGGCATGGTACAAATTACTGGAATGTTGGGTGGGACAGAATAGGGCCCCAGTGCTGGCATTGGACCCACCTGTCAACTGTGGCACCGTTGCCTTTAAGTGGTGTCTTAGTATTTCTCTCCCTCTTCCTCTCCTTGGAAACTGTGCTCATGTCTACCTCTGTGACCTTGGATTTCCCAAGAAAGTCTTCAGTGAAGTTGGTATTCGATACATCTCGCCATTCAGTCACAAGTTTGTCATCCCTCTGCACTTCAGGCCATAAGGTTTGAACATGTCAGTCTGCAAAGTTGAAACAGTTTCTGGAATGCTTCTGTTATCAAGACTTTAGCATAAATTTCTACAATGTTTGGCCCAATCTTATATTATACTATTAAGGATATTCAATTTGAACTTCACACCATTGCTCAATTTCAATAAGACCTGCTAATTTATATTAAACTCTATTAACTGGAATGTAATATGGAATTGATTTAATTATATTTAAAAAAAAAATGAAAATGATGTATTTGGAAATTTCAGCCGATGAAATTTTCTCAACACAGAACTTTATGACACACTGATCACACTGATTGACATGTCTTTAATTGTATTAAATTTAATGAGAGGGATGTTAAGTCTGTGTCTATATGTGTGGAGATGTAGTGATATACAAAGGAAGAAATTGGATTGATGACTGGTGCATGTCGGGTAGATCATGACTCACAGTGGAACATATCAAAGCTCTTGATAAGATTTTGTTTGATATTCACTGAAAGATTATTTCTTCATTGCATAATTGCTGAACTCATATCGAAAGGAAATAACGATACGTTTGTTAAAGGTGGGATTAATTGGTGTGTGGCAGGATGCGAAATAACAATTGTAAATGTTTCCATCGCTGTAGAGGACACAGTCCTTGGGTTTGAAAGATTTTTTTGTTTTTAATTCTCTTAACCTTACTTCCAGACAAGCCAGACATGGTAGGCTCGAATTAAAGTATAGTAGAGCTGACTTAGGTATTGTTAGTTAGTATAGGTTTATGTTTGTGTTTCTTGCATGAATAGACAATGAATTGATCTCACTGATTTCATAGGAGAATGTGCAATACATCATATTGTTTTATCATGAAGTGAGAACAATTGCAGTCCACTTGTATTGGGCTAAAGGCAGCTTCCACAGAGACCAGTCTTGGTCCAAATTGCAGATAATGACATTTATGATATATTATCTATATTATTATGACCTTGAAGAGTTCCATGTGTTAGATATCCATGAATTATTTTATTTCAAGGATGGTTTTAGTAAATAGACATGCCACAAGGAAACATAAGAAAACATAGTCTTTTTCTCTAAGCAAATACTGATGGAGAGAAGATTGCTCAGGTGCTATAGCACATAATATTTCTTGATCTATGTGTTGAAATTACATATGATATCAAGTAGATATAAATTTTCATGTTTTCGTTTGATTCCACATCTGATTAATTTTTCCTTCGATTGATAGTTGAATAACTGTTATTTAGTGTTTAGACTTTTCTGTGATTTGAGGAGATTGTGATTTAGATTGCCACTGATTTTTAAAAATTGTTGTATATTTGTCAACTCATATCGTCCAGCTTATATTGAATACCAGTACAGCTGTACTGGTCTAGCAACGACTAGATACATGTCATGTAATTTAGACATGAACATTTTTAAAAAGTCTGTACCATAATTTTATTGGAGTATTAAATCTGAGGCATCAATCCAAGTTAAGCAAGGCAATTTTAATGCTTTTTTCAGTCAACTGAAACATGTCTGGGAAAGAAAAAAATCAGGAAAAAATATAGAAATTGCTGTGGACAAAGCCTTGTATAGTATGGTACAGGCCTAGTTTTGTTTTAAGAAAATGACAAAAGAAATGTTCATAAAAACATTTTAGAAATCAATGAAAACAATAAACTGGACACAAAATAGTGTTATGATTTTGAGGATTTTAATGTAAATGTTCTGTGATAATATTTACCTTGATGCTTTGTGAATATATATCAATATGTGTTCTGTTATGTACCCATTTCATATGCCATTGTTGAGGGAAGTGCTTCATAAACTGAGAAAAAAACTGCCAAATGTCATCATTTATTAAATTCTTTCATTCATTTATTCCTAAAATGATGCATCTTTTAACGAAGCCATGTCCAACCCAATCATGGATTTATCTGGATGAAAGGATTGAGCCAATGTCACATACTTGTATAAAGTTGTTGCCTACAATTTGTTTTTTACTTGTGTATCTCAATTACAGAGGAGGCAAATTGTTTTGTAAATAATGTCCCATTTTGCTTTAAATACTATATTATTATTTTTTCTGAAAATTTCACCTGTTAAAATTAGATTTGATGTGTGTAAATATTCACACCATGTCAAAATATATCAACAAATTTATCTATACAGATGTTACTCAGATATTGTAAATACATTTTAATAACTTGTATCCCACCACCATGTAAAGCTACATCAGTGTCTCTATTTTATGAACATTTTTGTGTGTCCATTCAACAATATCGCTACAGTTACAAGTCAACCATAGATCCCAACAGGAGTACATTTCAGTCTGTCTTGTTATATAGTTCAGGAGAAACAATACCTGGAATATGAGAGAGTCGGTTCCTATACCAAAGAACAAGATTAGATAATTGTCAAGTCCTTTGAATACATGTGTTCTCTACAAAATTAGTATGTTACTGTATAACTGATTAATATTGAAAGAGTGAAAATAGCATTTTAATCAACTTGTTAGCATTATTTACAAAATTTTGTTCGTTAATTCAAAAATAGGGCAACGCTGTTTTTAAATAATACCATTCCCAAATGTATAACCTAAGTTTATTTAGCTGCAGATTTGTCACAATCTTTAACTGTTTTAATATGGAAGGTTAATATGTACTAGTTCAGACCAAATTGTTAAAAAATGGCTTACTTCAAAATTTGATAAATTTGCTGCAGGTTTGCTACTGTATATAATTTTTTCAGTGTTAATCCTAGTCGTAATTGTCCGAACACTTTGATGTACATAGGGCTGTATAAAGTGGAATTTTGTATATAATTTAGTTTTTTGTTTGTATATATGCACATTTATATAGGAGATATTAATGTCATCAAATACCAGTTTTTTTAGACACTATCAGGTATGTGTATTAAAAAAACTTTAGACTTGGGCAGTAGGACATCAGTGTTAATGTATGGTAATATGTTTACATAATGCTCCGAGAATAAGGGTACAATGTCGCTTAAATTTGATGTAGTGGTTCCCTTTCAGTTACTACTGGATGAGAGACATACAATAGAATATGATTGATGTTTTGTGTCTTTGCAGTGTTATCACATTGGTTTTTGTCTGTTTCCTTAAGATATTGTTCTAAACTGGTACTACATATTTGTTAACATTATTTACAAAAGTTGTTTCATCACAACATGCAAAATTTTATACATTTTAAAAAAACATTCGTCAGAATCTCCTCATTCAAAGTAGTCCTTAATTCTTATTTGTCACTGAAGTCATGCCTTGAACTTTGATTGAAGTATTATTTTTGTCTCAAATTATATCAGAATTGATTCCTGTGTTAGATTTTTGATGTGTGTTTACTTTGTCTCCAGTCAATGCCTTTGATTTACTTATTCCTGGTCTCCATTGTAACAAGTGGACAGGTCTGGCTGCTGTTGTGTTGTACATAGCATGTTCTAGACATCATTCATGTTTAATGTTTCATCTCTGTTGCAAATTCATCTCATATGATTCATATGTCTCAGGGTAGAAAAAATATGAATGTGAGAGAAACAAAGTGTTGCCCATATTATGCCTATTTCAATAATACAGTACATGGGATATCACCTAGAATTGATAGTAAATCTTAATCTAAGCCATAGATTTACCGCTAAGTCAGCTAGAGGGTTAATTGTTTCCAACTCGGCACTGGCTGATATGTCAGACTTGAGGAATAATTCACAACAGAAGTATTTAGGCATTGAAGATATCGTTTTATGTTTTCATATATATGTCATGTTTTTTGTATGATTTTGATTGTTGGTTTCATGTACAGATGTAAGATACTAGAGGAAAAAAGTTATATGGTAAAATACACTTTATAAACATAATTATTTAAAACCTAATTTTCATACTCAATACAGATAAGCCACTGTGTGTAATTGATATTCAAATAACCATGCAAAGCTGGCATGTAAAATACACAAGCTGATATATAGTATGATAGTATAGTTAATGCATGAGAAATATTTGTTATTGTATTCTTGTGGTAACATGGTATCTTGTGTGTAACTTTAATATGGTACTTCAGGAGGTTATAGTGTCTCTTAGTCTATCACAGGTTAAAAAAAAAAAATCTTAGTGTACCAGTAATTTTTTGTTAAAGAATTTGATGTGGTCTGGCTTCTAATGTAGCCTTTACTGATTCTAAAGTATTTTTTAAATGCAAAATGAAAAAAATTTGAATAAAAGATATTTTACAGAATATGTAGTAGCAAAATCGGACAGTCAGAGATGTGAGAGAGAAAAAAGACTAAATATAACAGGATTAAACTTTTGAAAAATGCATTTTCCAACATTTAGATTCACATACATAACCATTAGAAATCAAATGTATTAAAATGATGCAACAGATCTTTTCATTTGACATTTTTATGAAATACGGATTGAAGACTGATTATCATTATTTTGATTTATATAGGCATGATATATTACTCAAGAGAAAGAAATATTGTTTCAATGAAGTTTTGATTTTTTATAATAAACAGCAACTCCTCCTGGAAATTAAAATGTAAATTTGTGTAGATAAATGTTGCGGTAGAGTTATATAGGTGTAACTTTTGTGTTAAAGTTTGCAGGGCACTGTATACTTTAATAAATAGTAATTCTTGTACAAAAAGCAGAATCCTCCGTATATCAAGTAGGTTTATAACAATAAAATAGGGCATCTAGTCAACAATTTTAGTACAGATTTTGATAGATAACTTTATTGTTATTGAGGTTATGTTTATATTCTTGGTGCATATTACAAGATAGGCTATCCATTTTGTTTAAACATACCATGTCTGAAACTGAAAGCATGCTTTTAAGGCTATACTACAAATGAATTGTTACAATGCTACATGAATGTATTATTAGATGAGTTCAAGGCCAGTAGTGATGTAAATCTGAACAGTACCATGGAATGATACCTAACCCTTTTATCTTTTTCACTGAAATTCAATGTTCATTTTCATACGGTTGTGTTGATTATTTTTCAA